TTTGCATAAAAATTATGTAATATTTACACTTGATGTAATAATTGCATAATTTTTGTATGCTTATTTGCATAATATTACGGGCCTGCCGTAAACTTACGTAAATAGTGTAATAATTATGTAAATCTGCATCAGAAAAATTTCCTGATGAGATCACTAACTAAAGCTCGTTCAGCAGTCTGTACAAAACATCATGCTGGAAACTTACAAGAAATAACTAGGTAAGATATCTTACCAGTGCTGAAAGATACAATCAACAAAATTGACAAAGTATATAAACCAATGAGGTATCATTTTAGTTTCGGAGTAGGAATATTAGGAGGTCAGAATTCACCCCACTTCTATATGCAAATAGTCCCTAAGTATAGAGAAGACAATGAGTTACTGGATCTAAAGGGGCCTATGAGCCAGCTACACCTGAACAAATAAAAATAAATAATCAAACCCAATTCAGATAACATTATTATCAAAAAGTGTAAAGTGATTGCTAAATTGTGTAATGAAGTATGTTTTGGATACACAAGAATCTCTACTAAAGAACACTTATAAATGCCATTGAAACCAACTAGGCGAAGTATTACAAGAAACAATGCAAAGATTTGAAAGCACTATGGATATTCATTATTTTCAGTTAGGATGTGAACTAGGAGAAGAACTTGTAAAAGCATTAAAAAGGGAAAAATGGGAAGGTGATGTTCCCTCTTATGCCAATGATTATAGGGAATCTGAACTCATGATGAATGTGTTTCCTAAAACCAAATTACAAAAATATTGAAGACATTACAGGCCATTAAAAAAATAACCAATTTGATGGTACTATGGAAAATGAATGCCTTGCTGAAGAACTAAGTGACTGGGTTCTGTAATTACTTGTAAAAAGTAATTATTTGTTCACAATCAATACAAATAACAATTTTCTACACATGAGATCACAGAAACAAAAAAAAACTTTAAGGTTGTGATTATTTATGGTTTTATTAACAACCTGCCTCAAAATTTTCATGGA